ATTTTATCGACATGGACAGCTATGGATAAAATGATTTAAAAAAATACGCATTTGTCAAAGACTTACATTTATTTTGCATGCATTGCGTTGAATGAATATAGCAGGCGATTCGAGATCGGAGAGCGATTTTAATAATCAACAAAACAGTATTTGATTGGTTATGATTGGCTGTGGCGGTAAACGATTGCTTTAATAGGAAAGTTAAAAAAAGCAAGCACACAATCAATATGCATTGAATACACAATATTCTGTTTTATATTGGCGCTAAGTACTTTTGCACATAAATTCCATTCACATTACTTTGTTAAATTTCAATAAAAACATCAAGACAATTTTCTCAGCGAAAAAAAAAATTTCGAATAGAAAAGGAGATGACGATTTATAATGAAAAATCCCATCAATGTTTGCCCACCTTTATAGCATCTCCTTCTTAATCCAATTCACGAACACACCTCATTATGAAACCAAATGAAATGAAATGAAATAAAGAGCAAATTCAAAGGGATACCAACGAACAAATTCATCGCAAAAATATGCGCTTGCATAATTCAATGCTGGACGATAAGTCTTACAATGTTTCTATGTTTGTATGTCGGTTGTGAGTAGAACATGCCAATGCTGCAAAATTAACGAACACTTTTTAATAGAATCAAATTCAAACCCCGCTTCACATCGCTATATTACACCAATTCAAACATTCCTTCATTCGCAACCTTTCTCTATGTCACTTTTCACTCATTTTGCCCAGCAAAATGTTATGCAAGTAAGAGGTGTCATTTTTCCAATTTCGCGTACGAAGGCAAACTATGTGCAAAAAAAAAGAAACGAAAAAGGAAAAATCATTTCGATGAACATAGAAAAAGATGACTGATGGAAAAGTAGCAGACACTGTTTAATCTATTCCAGCACAGAGAGCAACTACTTGCGTTGAATTATTAAACGACCGCGTTGTGGTGAAAAACGACAACTTGTAAATGAAAATGAAGTTATCTTCGTCAAAACAATTTGCAAACTGACTTTCCATCATCATATTTGATTCGCCTACGTTAACCAATTTGATTTTGCATCATCTTTTTTCATTTCTATCCTCGATTTCTAAGGTGAATGATTTTGTTTGTTCACCTTAAATCAATATTATATTCAACCAAAAAAAAAATAAGAAATAGAAATTCTCGCCAAAAAAATCGTTTTCTTTCTCCTTGAGAATGTGCGAAAACAAAAAAAAAACACGAAGAATTTGTACAATGTTGAAAACGATACTCTGTGAGATGTAAAACCATAATAGCTATTTCAATTTTCATAGAAAACAATTTTCACTCTTTAATGATTGTCCGTGCTATTGTTCGTGTCCATATTTACACTATATGGTTTGCCAAAATATACCCAGAACAAGTCGAATGCTAACTTCAACGACGTGCTCGAGGTATATTTTAGCCAGTATAAGTGTTCTTGCATCTCACCAACGCTAACGGGTGAAGAACAAACATTAAAATTACTTGAAGCATCACATTCCAGGCCTCCAATTATTCAGCCCAATAACTTTAATTCGCCCGTAAATGCAGAACGGCGAAAATCATTCGACGCTTTATTTTTGTTATGCTTTTTCAGCGACCCTTTTTTCACACTTGACTGTTTGATTTTCGTACGTTTCTTTTTTCTTGCGTTTTTTTTTTCATTCCAAAACGATGGAGAATAATGTATTACACATTACTCATCTCATGCGCGATGATTATTATTTTTGTTTCATTCGCCATTTCGTTCATCTATAACTTTATCAAGAACGCATATTTTCACAGTTGTTAAAGCACAGAACATATGCTCCGATATGGATAAACAATTTTAGTTATGTGAACTTGTAAGTGACTGTGCGATAGACAATCAATGTAGATTTTAAGCTTGATGAACGTTCTATCATTGGATCAATTGATATTTTCATGCAACTATTACATCGTAAATGCCCATTGCATAAGAAAATGACTGTTATCAATGGTAAGTACCAATGAGTACCAATGTATCGAGCTTATGTATTGAACCCCTCAATAAAATTCTACCTACATTCATCAAGACCTACTTAATTCAATAATTGGGCTAAAAAACGCAATTTAACTCTGAGGTTTACAATTGTGGTTAACAATCACTCTTATGTACAAAAAAACTTGAGTTATATTGCTCACATCAAATACCGATGATCAAAAACTATTTTTAAATAAATTTGACAACACAAAGCATAAACTATGATCCTTTTTTAATGTTCACATTGGAACAAAGAAATTCGTTTGCTTCCATCTATTGAAAAAACCAAAGTGTGTCATGATTTCACATTGATGAATCACATCTTGTCATATTTTGTCGTTATGAGCGGCTATGAACTTTCGATTTTTTTTTTACTTTTGTCCTTGAAATTTGTTGCTTATTCGGCCAATGCAAACAGATTTTCTCAGCAAATATAAATAGAAAAATCGCAAAATGGAATTGACGGCAGATTGACGATAACATAATCTCACTTGTTTACAGCTAAATGAAAAAAAATGTTCCATATTTTATAACTAAAAACATGGCAACATCTAGGGGCTAGGCAAGCTTTTAAACATTTTGGCACAAATTGACACGTACATCACTCTTATTGGATGTATTTCACCGGATTGGGCTTGACAGTAGTCTCGACGTGGAATGGTTCATTTTTGTTTATGCGACAATAAACGCCTCAAAGTAATGGCAAAACATATGAATCAGATGTTAATAATAAAAAAATAAATTTTGTGACTAAAACAACTCGATAAGCTCCCAGCACAACATCCATATATATTATACATATTTAAAAATATAAAAATGTAAGCTGAATTTCATGTCGCGTTTAAAATGAAGTAGAAAATCAGACGCATTTTATATTTTATTGCAAATTAAAGTATTTTCATTCTATAATAATTTGAAGCAATTTCTGATTGAACTGAATTTTGACAACTGTATTCAGACATTTTTATAAAATAATTAGTATTATCGTGTTATATTTATTTGTTTTATTATTTGTGTGTTTTAGTAGAAGTACGTACAATTTCTAAATTAGATCAACAGCTGTTTGATGACGTTGCATTAAGTAATTTTAAACAATCTTATGAACACCGCTTCGATTTAGCATCTGGGCAGCAATGCTGTACAGACGCTGCGAATAGCTAGCGCTATTCAGATAGGAAAAAACCATCACTGGATAAACTGGAGGATTTTTTCCATGTATTTTGAGCGATTTTGTTTTTGTCATCAAAAGAAAGGGTTAGTTTTTATTCATTTAAATTTTCCAAAATGAGAGTATGCGATTTGGCTACAATGGTTAAATTCCTTTAACTTAAAATAAAGAAGAATGGTTTTTTTCAAAATCATCAAATTTGTATTAACCCTTTTATATTAACTCTTTATCATTATCTCTTTGTAACATAAACAACAATACGTTTCAAATACCAATGATCCTGAGGTGTATGCCTGATAAGTAACACAGAGACGGCATATGCTAATGGTCTTTCAAAATAGTTTGAATCGATCCTTTCGAAATGCCAACAATATCAACAAGTTCTCTAAATATTAATCGACGATTTTTGAGCACAAGATCTTTGATTTTCTTGACGTGTTTGGTCGTTCTGAACGGTCTTCGTCATCAATGCGTTCTCTGCCTTCTTTGAACATTTTGTACCACTTATACACTCTGTTTTGCGACATCAAATGATCACCGAAGGCCTTTTGTAACATTCTCAACGTTTCTGCAGCAGAAATCTGTTTGACGACAGATAGCTATGGTAAAACAGTTTCTGATGGAAAAGTGTCCACATTTTTTCTGTCTTATGAATGGAAGCATTATGAAACATTCTGTAAATTTGTTTCATTGAATTAAAAAAAAAATCTGCTTTTCTGATATTCATTCGGAATTGGGTTCGCTCCCTTTTCAACAAAATGAACTTAATTTTGTTGCGATGTAAAGTTTGAAAGAGAAGCATGCAAAACGCTAAATTCATTTCAATGAACCAGTGATATTAATCCTCGCGAAATGCATCTTGATTCTATTTTAAGACAACTTTCGTTTGACCCAATTGATAATGGATTGAATTTCAATTTTTTGGGTGTAGTCGCAATTAGTCACTGAATTATCGATATTTTTCTATATGAAAAATGATTGATTTTCTATGTAAAATGGCTCAAAAATGACGTTTGACTCTACAAATTTATTACGGAGTGTAATAATGAGCTGAAATAAATTAAAAACAGACAATTCATGGTCCAATTTCAACCCGTTTGCTTTTCTGTTTCACCTTTTTCGGTGGTTGTTTAAATTGAAAATGGAATATTTTTTGGTTACAAAATAACTTCCGAAAAGTTTCAAGGCTGTACACATTCACAAAATGATCTTTCACTTAATTTGGTTTTTTGGTACAGTTTTTTGTTTTGATATTTAATTCGTTTGAACATAAAAATAACTATTTATTCTTGTACAAAATGTATTCCTGATTTGTACAAAACCAGATTAAGAGATTTTCCCAGCCTTTATTTTTGTCAATTTAAAATTAACGAAATTTATTGTATTTATTGCGACTAATATGGGCATAATTTTTTAAAAGGAAAGTTCAAAGTTTAAATTTTCAACCATAAACAATAGACGAGTGTTGAAACATCTATAGATCCCAACTGTTTTAAACAAAAATATCGCAATTTCTTTATGATCCAAATTTTGGTATGCGTTTCAATACATGCGAATATATAGCGTACTGTATCAAATGTACGTATACAAAGTGTGCTATGGAGAATAATAGACGTCGGAGTTTGTGTACAATCATATAGCAAACCAGCTACCGCACGGTGAAGTGTTACGTGCTCTTAGAATGCGCTGTACTGAGTCTGCCGAACTGTGTGTGTGGTGGTACGGGCATGAGCCACGATGGATAGACTGTATACAAATGCTTCCCATTAGCAGTTGAATTCAGTTTATCGTGATTCTTTCAAGCGAAAACATCACTAACGATTTTGGTGTGCGCCAAAACAGCTTCCGAGAAGAAGAATATAAAAAAAACATTGTTCGTGTCGCCGTTGTTAGAGTGAAAGACTATCACAATTGGCAGCAGTGCGTTCCAAAACCGTTCGATTCATCGATGAATAGAATTGAATTGCAAATGGACATAGTGACATTTACTTTTCCTAACTCAAAAACGCATCACACGCACCACAGTTACAGATGTCAATTCAAATCGTAAAGTGTTGTGTGTATCATTGAGAATTTAAAGGCGATTTAACGGGTTTTTTTTTCAGTTGCGTATAAAAGTCGGTTACGTTTGCGAAATTTCTTACGATTTTGTGGCTTAATTTAAATTTTTTATTGGTTAGACATGATGCACGGACTAAAAAAGAGCATTACAAATTTTCACTCGTTAGAGGGTATGAGCACTTGAACCATAAAAAATAATGAGATAATTTTCTCGCTTCATATGATTTTGTTGTCGTTGGATACATTTACTCTTGATTGCATATCATGAAAGATATGGAGAAATAGTTTTTGCACATGTAGATGGTATCAGTTCTGCGGTATTCTCTTCATTCTGAATGAATTAATTTGAATATTTTCCATAATGTGCAATAAACAAAGGTCATACGTGGTAAATACCAAAATAAACACGGTCAAAAGTATCCGGATGAAAATGTGTATAAAACGGAAATTTTAAACACTGAACCAAGTGAATTTTCAGCAATTCGAAGAAGAAGCAAGCGCATAAAATTATGATAGGCACGAAACGACGATTGAAAATGGTTTCGATGAATATAAAGTGAAACAAAAAGATTGTTAACGGCGACCAATTTTTGTGAAAACGGTGTGTATATGTTAAAATATAAAGACTAAAAATAGAACAGATAGAGTAGAATAATAAAATAAAATGGAAAAGGAAACAATAAAGCGATACACAAAATGCATTTGGAGCAAATTATTTTAAGTGTACTCCGAAAAATGAAAAACGTTTTAAACTCAACTATTTTCGTGGTGTATCCGAACGTTTTACAAATTTGCAACGCATTTTTTTACTGACTTTTCTCACTTCTGTCTTTTCACCGTTCGTAAAAATAAAGAACGACTAAAATAACTGTCATAACATGGCATATTCACTAATAACAAACGTATTAACATAATTCCAAATATTATATGAAGAAAAAAAAAAGTTGTGGAAATTCGTTGAAATAATTCGATCATTGGAAGAACTTTGTTGAAGGCATTAATATTTGAATTGCTATTATTTATTACCAATTCTATCAAAACATTTAATATTTGTTGGTAAATGAATTTTGGTAACTTCACAAGCTTCATCGAAATGAGTTCGGAACATACAATAGAACTGAATACACAAATTTAGACGTCTAAAATACTAAAATAGAGGTCAAAATTCTTCGGTTCACACGAAGAATTTAAAAAAAAAATCGGAAAGTTAAAAATTTTTCTGTTAATCGAAAATTTTTCTGTTAATTAAAAAACAGTAAAAAAAAAATCGGAAAGTTCCAAATATTCGCTATTTATGAAATCAATCACCACATTCTTCTACCATGGCGTTCTTAAAAATCTTAATTATTTCAACAATTCTTTAAATTGAATAAAAAAGTGCATACAAAAACGTGTCAAAGCCAAACTTCAATTACACTCTCCAAAACATCTCTACATACATTTGCATTTAAATCAATAAAAAATGTCAAAGTATTACTCTTTTCAAACTACAGCAAAGCAGACAAAAAGTATTTTATCGAAGTTTCTATCCACGAGCAAACTTCATATATAGCCGGAATACACCAACTATCGAAAAACACACATACCCGAATTATGGCGCGACATAATAATCATACAAATACGTAAATGTACTTCCATGCATTTCACAGTCACAGTAGATGCTGATTCTCATCCATATATTTTTTGGAGAAAAATATCTGAATTCTTTTTCATTGAAAGAATAAAACCATCTCTGGCTCCCTACTGCAAAACCGTTGAATCAATTGACTGTCAAAAGTGTTTCAATTTCTGGTGGACGAACATAATTTGTGTGAATGCAAATTTCATTAGATTCTCCGAAATTGTTCATGTTTACATTTCAAATTTAGAAAATATGTGCGACGTGAATATGCGCAGTTTTATATCTAACACGTAGAAATCTCTGCACAAACTTCAGTTTGTGGAATTCTCTGGCGCTAAAAATCTGCCTTGATTATGGTTTATGGTTGCTTGTGTTTCACATTTTTTATTTCTGCAAATAAACTAAATTATCTAAGAGGCGACAGTACATCTTATATCAACTTTCTTCAGCTTAGCATACGAAATGAACACTTTCCACTCAGAGCTTGTCACCATTGTGTGGTCACAGTGAATCTTTATTTCTATCTTTGAGCTTGCGTTGAACAAATGAAAAATTGTTTACTCGTGCCCATTCGCTACAATTACTCAGGCCAAATTCTATTTCGGTTTATGTTGGATCACTTAAAATGTTAATTAAGTGGAAAAATTAAAACAAAAAAACAACAAATGTTTGACTCTGCTTTGATTTTGTGTGAAAGCTCTGAAATTGACCGTGATGAAAATATTAACAGAGTTAAATAGAATTTAATTTTTGCAAACTATTCAAAACAAAAACGTCGAAGAGACGCTCTAACAGAATTGAAGATTATCCCAATGCGATCGAAGGAAATTTTATGAAAACACTTAAAATGTTTTGCAGGTCATTTTCTAAACGAATTTTCTGTAGATTAGAATATTGGTCTTATATAGAAACTGAAAATATTTATAGAGACGAATTATTCAGTAATATTCAGCTTATTTTACTAATTATAACTTAATTTTTCTCTATTAATTTTCCCACATGCATACGAATACGTCAGTTCCAGGAATTATGACATTAAAGCTGACAACAACATAGCAACAAACGCATGAACAGTTTGAACACCGCACACGTACCAATTAGATCATATAAAAATGTGTTCGACTTGATATCGTTTAAGCAACAGCGTTGAAAAAGGAAAATTTGTGCGATTGCACGAGTCACGTGCTCAATCGATATCGACAGATGACAGTATCAATAATGTTTTATTGAAAACCAATGCAATAATTACGATGATTGAAAAAACAACAGACAAATTGCCGTATTTTACTCTTAAATATAAACATTCAAAATGTGTGTTATTTAAATTTCTTGGTGTTTAAATGTGTGAAAAATAATTGAAAAAAAAATCCGCGTAATTTTAAGTGAATTAAATTTTATTGAATTTTAATTTAAGAGTTATGTGTTCGATCACAGCCCAAATGAGAATGCATCGAATCGAATAAAAAAAACAGGAAATTTAAAGCATAAATGGTTTTCTATGTAGTGAGGTTTTTTTTAAAGAAATTTAACATCGAATGATAAAAATACGCCTTCAGCATAGATGTAAGCATGAATTTAAGTTTGTGCTCATCGAATATGAATATTTCTAATTAAAAGACAATGATTATGACGATGACGAAAACATCAAATCGAGGATATTTCTAATTGAATTTTCCACAATCAATGCGAGAATCAAAGGTGCGCGCATAAACGAAGAGAGTGAGAGTCAAGAAAAAGAATTCCCAAAAAGAAAACACACACACAACATTAAAATCAGACATCGTTATTGAAGCACAAACATGTTTTATCGATTGCAGAGCTATTACTTTGGATTAATTTTAATTATTTTGCACACAAAAATCAAAGGTAAGCTCACTTAAAACATTCCAACTATTTTAATTTATCGGCGAACAGTTTCGTTCATGCGAACGCTTACTTTTGTTTTATATTTATTAATTAGATCTGATTCAATATGATTTCAATCAAACTTTTGTTAATTTTGCATTTATTATTGATTTTGTGTCGATAGACTTGTGGTTGATGTGCGAATTCTACCATTGCATTTCAATCAATTTTTATATTTATATCTATCCAAAAACCAACTCAAATATATTATTAAATGAGATAAATCATCATTTGTTGATGGGTTTTTGGTGAAAGTTTTTTATCTGCCAAATATTTATCTTTATTGTACAGTTTAAATTCTTCTATTTTCGATGAAACAGTTTGTTAGAAATATTGATTATATAAATCGCGTTCGTTCTCTTCAGTGCGCCGATGAAAATCGAAAAATAAATCAAATGAAACGATACAAATAATTATTTTTATAAGAGTTAGCAATAAAATGTAAAAGTTTTCGTATTGAGTGTTTTTGACGCTTGTGTTGTGCTCCGTATTTATTAAATATTCAATTTTGTAAAAAAGAATCTGCACATCATATGTCAGAAGCACATCTTATAACTTCAAAATCATGCATTTATCAAACACAGACTGGAGGGAGAGAGAGGGACTGATATGTGAAACATTTTATGGATGCAGTTTTTTTTCACGTGCACGTGCTGGCACGCACGTTTATTTTTAAATATTTTCCGCATTTGATTTTGTATTTTTGCTACCAGAAATTGCAATAACAATAATAGTAATAAACGCGAAAACGACGATTACAGCTTGAATTCGATATATATATAGATGAATAAATCGAATTTCAATGATGCAAAGCATTGATTGAGAACGAAAAGATGAATGAACATATGTGTCCGATATCGTGGCAAAGTCGATGAGATTGCAATATTAGCGCCACGAATGAGCGTATAGCGTGGTACCTAGATGCTCTTAATGCAAAGCCTAAATGGAATTTCACGACTAGAATGGCGCAAATAGTGAAACAATTGGTTTGAGTTGTTTGCATGCAATGTGCACACGAGCACTGCATTCATCATTGGAAATTGAGAAATACGATAGAATATAAAGGATGTTAAAATGATTTAGAGAGCGAAATAGATCTAAAAAGAAGAGTTGATATATGAGAAGGGATGTGAACTAAGCTATATAAACACCAGAATCAATATTCAAAATGATGATGGTAACAATCAGACATTAGGTTTGAGCTATGGATATAGCGGCTGCTATTTCATAGCCGCTATTCATAGGCACTATTTATCTCGTTTTAATGCATTTATGCATATTGTGCGTTATTTTCTACATCTCTCTCCTACTCACATTCAAATGTACAAAAGAATAGTAGGCTATGACATTCCTACTCGGTGTTACACACAGCACAAGAATTAAATAGCGCCTATGAATAGCGGCTATGAAATAGCAGCCGCTATATCCATAGCGCAAACCTAATGTCTGGTAACAATAATGTCTATGTTACCATAGTCTCTTGGTATTTTCAAACAATACTATTTCACCATAAGAAATCACGAAATAATTTCAAAATGCATCAAAATGAAAGCAGTTGTAATTTATTCATGTATGAGCATTTGTGGAATTTGAAAAGGAATGCGATTATATTTGGCACATATTTTTGTGATGAATTTTAACCGACTTGAAAAAGTTATTACGAATTGAGAAAGGGAAAGTGGAAAAGAGATAGACTCCTGTTTGGAATTGATTTTTGAATTAAAAATATTTTTTAACGCAGTCCTAATTGAACATAAGAGACGATAATCTTGTATCCCGGATAAAAGAAAACCGTTGTGTGTACGCAATAAAAGCAATAAACAAGTTTTAGTGATGGCTCTCTTAAATGTATATTGATGAACAAGAAAAACTGATGGTGTATTTTATTTTCATAGGCGGAAATGGATACCGAAGCATCGACAAATATATATATATATATATAAAACTTTATTGCGTACGACCAAATTACTTTGATTATTTTCGTATTTTTGTTCTTCTGTTCTCAATGCATATTATGCATTGCATAAAATGGCCTTTTTTGCGTATAATGCAAAAATCACATACTTTGTAAAGAAAAATTGTGTAGAGGTGAAAAATTCAAAAGATTTCTTTCTTTTCTAGCATGTTTTTCTTCATTTTCTTTTTTTTTCGGGTAGCGTGAAAGCAATTCGCAGATATGATTCGTCTATGAGTTGTCTATTCCTTTGGTTTTGCTCATTTTTATTCAATATATTACCTTTTTTTACCGACACATTGTGTGTATTTCAACTATGGTTAGTTGCATATTGAGTGTAAAACTCCATGCAAAGGAAACAATTCAAATGAATTACACCGTGCAGAAATTCAGAAGAGAGAACGTGTTGCAAAACTTGATGATTTGATTTTGCCTTTTACGAACTTTTACGAAACGTTATACACATGCATATCATCTTTCACAACGAATTCACGTCGAACGGAAAAGAAAATATGCAAAATAAAGTATTATTAGATCTAAAAAGATGATAATAATTTCATTTTGAGCATGAATGAAATTAAATGGAAAGAAAAAATGAAGAAAAAATCTGAACGTTCGATGGAACACCCTTCGATTATTTTTTATTTTAGTGTGAAATGGGAACACAAGACAAATATTGCCGAATTTTTGTTTGTTCACAATAAATAGATTATTTCTTTTTTAAATTGAATTTTTTCTTTGTCATAACCTTTGAACACATATGCATATATTTGATTTTTTCCAATTTTTTCAAAGGACAGACACTTATAACACCATCTATGTAAAACGCGCTTACTACAATATAAATCAAACGTATATCTGTTTCTCCTTCTTCCCCTCTTTTATCCTTACTATACTTTTACATTGTAGTTAACCTGTTTTACAGAGATGGCGTTTTGGTGTAAGATATGTGACGTCACAATACATTCTTATTGACTGCGCGCATCTCCTGCATTTTTCACATAAATGTAGTGTCTATTTTGAGTTGAAAGATTCATTTTTGAGGCATCAAATATTCAAATAGATACTAGAAATCCAAAATTGGGAGTTTATTTCGAGGCCGGTAAAAACAGGCATTTTTCCCGGGAAAATAAAATGCTGCCCATCACTAGAACCACATCAAAATATTTTGACCTTTTCCCTCTTGCTTGAGAGCCCATTGGCCTTTTTTGAATGATATAAGTGGCTCATAGGCTATTGATTCTTATGGAAATATTTGAAATACTAAGAACAAATGAAATTGATCGGTCACATGGGATTGGACTTGCTTTTTGAAAAAATAAGAAATCCAACGTTTCCATGTTTTTTTTTTTTGTAAAAGTAAAAAATAATGGTGATATCAAAAAGCTTTAATTATATTTATTTTTGTTCAAATTTACTGGAGTTTGTTAATGGAACTTGAAATGTAGAATGTTATGCACAAAGACGTGGTCAATAAATCGCACATCGTATTGTAGTTCCCGCATTATTTTTTGTCATGAAACGGTTTATCTTTTAAAATTTATAACATGGTTTTGATAAATATTTCACACAGCTTAGCCGCCGTTGAATGTGGATACTTGTGTATAATCATGATGATATAGTTTATACATTTATACGTAGCCATGCGTATGTACATCAATTTGGGGAGCAAGAAAAAAAAAGAGAATGCATATAATGTAATGTTCAATCTCAGGAGCATCGAAAGGCCAAAACAGTAATATTTTTCATTTATTTTAGCTGAAAAAAAAATTGTTTCAATCTTGTATTTTGTTTTGCGCGCTCTTTGCACTTATATTCATTTCAACTGTGTCGGGCTTAATTTATTTTGTTGTTGGCAGCCACTTTTTGTTGTGCAGATGGCTTTGTTTTTGGGGGCTTTTTTCCCGACGACAACGACATCGGCCAACTGTTGGTGCTGCTCTGTCAACCAACCAGAGATAGAGAAATAAAATATATTCGCACAAGCATACTTTTCGGCTTTGGTGTTATGTGTGAGATGCCAAAATATATCGAAAACACTGATGACACATTTATAGAATGAAATACAATGACATTATTTTTTGTTGGTTGCGTTAGCTTTGGTGTTGGAGATATTCAACAAAAAAAATATATGTGCCAAAGTAAACGGGCGTTTGGGTTAAGTTAAATGTTCGTTATCAAGAGAACAGAGGCTTCACTCATACACACACACACATATATACACTCACAATCATGCAATATATAATATATGTATCTGTATTCACATGGCTTACAAGTTGCAAATGATAGAGAATGCAAGAAAAGTTTTTCGTAAGCAAAAAAAAATGTCCAGCAAACACCAACAAAGATGGTAAAAGGCAAAGACCAGAAACACTAGCAAACGAAAAACAAACTAAACACAATGAAAAACATTCAAGATAGATGCAGCAATCTATGCAAAACAAGAATGAAATCGTATGCGATATAACATTTTAGTGAATCGAGAAGAGAACTGAGAGAAAAAAAAATGTGCCCAAAATGTAAACGCACGTCGCACATACTTAATGAAAAATTGTTTTTCTTTGTTTGCACATTTATCTCGGTATCTATTGTGCTGTGGAGCTCTCATTTGCCCGTAATTTGTAGTTTTGTATCGAGTTTTCTTATTTAACCGAAAACTATTATTCAATTGATTGTTTCATTGGTGTTTTTGCGCTGCCTTATATTATACACAATTTTGAAAGTTCCAATTGTAAGAATTATGTGAATATTCGTTTTGTTTCCAGAGCTCATTGTTTTAAATTTTGAACGAACAACACACAAATGACGGTGCAAGCTACATACAACATTTACTGCACACGTCAATGGAAGTGTGATTACTGTTTTTTCATGCGTCCTTCTTTTCATGCATAATGTATCATCATCCGATTCGTATTGTCGGTGTAACTCAAAACTCTCGGGTTCGATACATAAAATCATCACCAACATCTATCATCGATCGAAGTAACTCAAAAATAGTATTGTAAGA